ATACTATGGAAGGTTGTGTGTTCTCACACTGACAGACCACAAAGGGTCTGTCACAAAGGGTTTTCATTTCAAAATTTCAACTGGGACCCCAAGATGTTTGAACTCAAAAAAGAGTGCTACAGTCTTCCTAAAAGCCTTGGACTCTGACATTATCATAAAACTTACTAGGGGAGGAAATCCTTTGAAGGATACATTTCCAAATAGCAAGGCTTCTTTCCAGGGAGATTCTTTTTCCTGTTAAGATTTTCCTTCCTCAGTGATCATGTCTAGAGTCACCAGACATTCTTCATGCTGCCTCCGCATCAGCACTCAGAGACGGACTCCTCGCTGTCACATTGTGCAATCAATAATTACCATGGGATTGTCAAACCAACAAGACCTGGCAGCAAACTCAGCATCATAGTCAGCTCTGGCCTTTTCCCCACATCCCAAACAATGTTTTTTCCATTAATGATGATCACTGTGGACAGAGGTACACAGTCCTCTGTGTGGTTTTTAGTCAGGATCATGACAAATTTCCCAACACATGATTTAGGGAACTATCAAAATTAAAAAATTTTTTCTCATTGATTTTATTGGTACATTTTAAGTATACTGTACAGTTACATTCATAACTGGGATCTTGTACCTTTGCATGAGACGTCTTAGTTCTCATTTTTTCCCCTTACCCCTGCCCTCCTTTCAACTCCTCCTCCTTTCCCTATTTACAAACACTTTATTTCCATTTTTTCATTTTCTCATATTTTTTCTTTTCCTTTATTTCCTTGCCCAACCCTTCCCACTACTCCTATGCCTTTAGCCCTTTTCTTTCTATTTCACATTGTCAATATATGCCATTAGGATCTTATGTACAATTATAGTTTTTCACACCAGAGAAACTATTCGGTATTTATACATGTGTGACTTATATATTCCCCTTAAGAGTGTGACCTCAATATGCATCCACTTTCCTATGAATGACTCTATTTTCTCATTCTTTATGGCTGAGTCCTATTCCATTTCATATAAAATGGTTTATTTAATGGTCATTTTATTTTTGTCTTACAGAGTTATTGTTGTAGTGGAATGAGATGCTCCTGACTGGAGAGCAATGAACATCACTGATTTTCCCCATCTATTAACCTAATCACTTTTGTTTATTTTGCAGGCAAATCATTAATGTGACTGCTTCCTGGAATCTTTTCATGAGCTTATTGTAACCAGGAGATAAGTTGGACAAAACATTCAATTCATTACTAAATATTTTTAAAAGGAAAAGGGAAATTATAGAATAAAAAGTAATTACCTAAAAAAATAGGCAACTTTGGATAGTGGAATATGGGACAGTGCATTTCAGAAAGGAGGTTATAAGCTGAAGGAGTACCCTAAGAGCACCAGCATTTAAAGCACTAATTAAACCAATAATGGCCACGTTTATTATCATCCATTTTGGAGAGAAGACATTTGGATGTGACATGATTTACATGTCAGGCACAGCAGTACATTTATTTACACCAGAATCACCACAAGCACATCGACAATGCAGTGCCTATGATATTAGCAAATCTAGGACAGCACTCGGGGAGAAGCTTTGTCTGTGCAGTTGTGGCCTTGCAAGCTGCCCATCCACAGCGGACACATTGCTGTGTGGAGCAGAGCTGTGATAGTTCAGTGCCCGGGATCAGCATGTGGGCAGAATCAGACTGATGAAAGAAATCTGGATGACGCTTCAGATGGAAATGAGGAGAAGTGTACTGGAAAGTGAGGGTAAAGACATCTTTGCATCCAATGGGGAAAAAAGGGTGTTTATGTCCAGGTGTATGGTGAATGTCAAAAGTTTCCAGGAAGCCATGAGACATGGTGGGATAAATCTCCTAAGTACACTCTGAGGGTTGAGAATAGATTTTCCTCATTTCTAATGATAAAATGAGTGAAAACGGCAACAGGATATAATGAAATATCAATTCAAAAGGAAAGGAAAACTTAAATATTTGGAAGTGTCCCAGCCTGGCCATGTCATAACGAGAGCAAAGATTTCTTAGGGCCAACACTGAAGTCTTGTGATAAGGAGAGTGGCATAGACTGAGACAAGCCTAATGCTGCTGAACAGGAAAAGAGAAAATGATTCCAATGGTGTTTAGAGTCTTCCACTCCCACACAAGCCTAGAATACATGAACTTGAGGTCATGACAGCCATAGATGGTCATGCTGTCATTTCTCAGGGTTTCCTCAAGTGTCAGCCCCATATATTTGGGGACCACATTCCTGAGTCACCACACGTGTGGCTCCTGTGTGTCCAAGCACAACGTGGGCCTCCATGGTTGACACTGCAGAGTGCACAGACCATGTATGTCCATGGTGTGCATTAGATGAACTCTCTGCAAGTGTACCAAGTCCAAGCACTGTGGCCATGGAAGCCTCCATCTGACCTCAAAGCAGACCTGGTCATCTGCAGGCTCAGGCAGGAACCTCTGTAGAAGGCAGAAGCTGCAGAGACCCTCCACAAAGGCAATGGCAGCACAAGTGTGGGGTGAGAGCCTCCAAGAGAGGTGCCCAAGAGCAGTGCCTTGTAGACCTTGTAAACTGTTGCCCCATCGGCCACAAGGCACCTGGCCCACAGATACACCAGGAGGGAAACCTGCTGTGGGACACTGCCTGCGCCAGCTCGCACCCACGTGGACTCTTGCAGGAGCTGAGCTCTGAAAACATGTTGATGGGCTGAAAGCACCATGTGAAATGTGACGTAAATTGACACCCACATGAAGTCAAAGGGGGTTACTATGGATCATTAAGGGTAAACATTGGTCCAGTGAGGTTGTGCTTATTATTGGTACTCGTTGCTCCTTTGTATCAGCTCTTTAGATTGGAACTGTCCATTCGTTGGAAGGCTCAGCACTATAGTTGGGAAACGTTCAACTTGTTTAATTTAATGATGACAAATTAAGGAGAATCACATGGAAAATCTCACCCATAATTCATTTAGATAACATTTACATCAGGCTTTGAGAAGGGTACTAAAGAGATTTAAAACTTTGGAGTGGTTATGAGGGAATAGGACGATGTTAGTAAGAGATAAAGACATGGGAGTGGGAGGACGGGATAGAAAACTATGGTTGGAATCCATGGGCCCCTCAGAGTTTATAGATTGGAACTCATGTGTGCCCTGGTGGATATCAATAATATATGGTATATTTTTTGGGAAATTTCCCAGGGATACTTGATTCTTAGTTGAGATCAGGACGGTTGTGTCATGAGCATATCACTTTTTTTCCCCTCCCTGCAATGTAGGGACACAGTGTGCATTTCTCCTGTGACCTGAGGGTGCACAATCTAGACAAGGTCTGGGAGCACACAGTTATCCCCCTGCAGAAACCAAATCTGTCATTGCCTGTTTCTAAAACTCTGTGTCCACAAATATGACAAATGCCTGTATGTGATGTAAAGTGTTCCTTGTGTGGTGTTTTTACAGCAGCAGGAATAGAACACTCTCCTCCCCAGTTTGTGTATGTGTTAAACTCACATTCTCAGGCTTCAGCACACTCAGCCATTAGTAATCAATGAGTTGTTCCAACTTAATCTTCTTATTACATGGCATAGGGTGACCTCAGACCCAGGCAGATAAGTCTTGCCCTTATTTTCTTGTGTAACCTCAAAATTTCCAGGTTCCATATTTTTACTGCCTTGCAACTTCATTTTTTTGGAGCACTGAAAACATTATTAATTTACAATGAATCCAGTTTTTTGATTGTAGTTGTAGTCTGTGTTGTAACAAAAGAGACCACCTTTTTCATGTGTCTGCATTTGTGTGATGATGAGTAGCTCACTTTATAATAAGCTGAAGCTTAGAACATTTAATTAAACATTAATAGAGCAACTGAAGATTTAAACTGAAATATTTTTCATCTTGTTTCTCTCTGATTGTTAACTTTCTGTGTATCTTTTCCATACTGGGAATGAAAATCAAGGCCTCACAATCAGTAGGCAAGCTGACCACTGAGCTGTATGCATGGCTCTATTTGCATACATTGGGAAATTAATCAGCATTAATATCCAAGAATGCTGACTCACATAGACATGTGTTGAGATTTTAAACAAATATTTGAATTAAGCATGATCAAGTTAGATGGTGTGTGCTCTTTATGTAAATGTTGAAATAGAAAAAATAGTGTAAAGCATCATGAAGGTCATGAGCTGCCTGGAGATAGGATGCAGGAGGGAAGCAGCAGGAGGGAGGGATGGCAGAGGAGCCCCAGGAAACACTGCAGGATGACACGTGTGTTCCCTGCTCTGTCCCTGTGTGTGCTTGTGGAAGAGCCGTTGTGTGTTAATACTTCTCAGGTGCCCACTTCATAGCTGGGCAGTTTATGTGTTCTATCTGATGAACCTGTCACGGATAAACTATCTCTAAATATAGATAAAGAGTGAGCGAGTTTATGACAGTGGAAAATGAGAGATTCACGGACAGGCATCCACATGAACACTGGCTCTGTTTCATCTCAGCAAACAGCAAAACTCAGCAAAATCACACTTGTGCTCAGCAGGGGAAAAGGGGAACAGCAACATCACCAGGTGCCCCTCTCTGTCCAGGACCTGGAACAGGAAGCAGTTTGTTCACAAATTTGGAGAGCCTAGGCCCAGATAGTGTGGAGAACATTTACAGAGCATCAGCTCTGCTATAGAAGAGGAAACTGTGTCCCACACTTCCATAATTTTATATGAATTTTGCTTTCATAATTTTCCAAGAGACAAATTTAATAGAAAGATGCATGCTATGTGTAGAAGACAAATACAAGTAGATGAAGAGATAATTTCAATACATTATCTCATAATGTGATTTCCTATTATCGTAAATGAATTCATTGGTACCACACTATCCCAGCACACTCTCACTGGAAGTGGGCAGTGCCCTCTCTGAGTTATCCATCCTCAGTGCTGTCTATATAGCAGAAGGTCATGCAAATAGGGCCTTGGTGTGCTGTTAATAAACAGCCCAGCCCTGACCCTGCAGCTCTGCAGAGAGCCCAGCCCTGGATGCCCAGGTCCTCCCACTTGGTGATCAGGATTGAACACAGGCAGCGCAACATGGACCTTACCATGTGTTGGGTTTTCCTGTTTGTAATTTTGAAAGGTAAATAATTTAGAGCAAAAGATACCGAGGGCGTGAGTGTACACAGTGGACGTGTGTGACAGCTTCCTGAGCAAGATGTCTCTGTGTTTGCAGGTGTCCAAGCAGAGGTGCCGCTGGTGGAGTCCGGGGGAGGATTGGTGGCACTTGGGGGGTCCCTGAAACTCTCCTGTTTGGCTTCGGGATTCACCTTCAGTAACTACTGGATGGGCTGGGTCTGCCAGGCTCCAGAGAAGGGGCTGGAGTGGATCTCATCCATCAATTCTAACGGTGGTAGCACATACTACGCGGACTCTGTAAAGGGCCGATTCACCATCTCCAGAGACAATGGCAAGAACACGCTGTATCTGGAAATGAGCAGCCTGAGAACCGAGGACACGGCGGTGTATTACTGTGCAAGAGACACAGCGAGGGGACCTCAGTGTGCGCCCAGACACAAACCTCCCTGCAGGGGCGCTCTAGTCCAGCAGGGGTCACTGTGGTCCATGGAGAACCAGGCAGGGCCCCAGGAGCAGTTGCAGAGGAGGTAGCAGAGTGGGGGGGGACTTCCTGTTGGCCCCTGGAGTTTCCCTTCCGTATTAACATCACACGACCTTAGCAAACCTTGAAATGCATGAGCTGCAATTTAGTATTCAACGATAAGTGAACATTCCGTTAATATTGTTGAAGTATGGAGTTTCACCTCATATATCTAACTTGCACTTGATGGCTAAACCCTGGTCCCTGGTGTGATGACCTCAAACACGGGCAAACATGATCTCACGTAACTTGGAAACTTTGTCAACTGCATTTTCTTTTCAGTGTCAACTCATCATCATAAAAAATTGTATCTGCTAATTTATTCTCAAGTGTGAGGAATTGTCTCATACAAGAATACATGATACAGATTAAGGAATGAAGTCCTTCCCAACCCAAATGACAGAGTCTGAAAACACCCAGCTCTCTCTTCTATCCTTGCCCACCTCAGGATGTCTGGTCCTCAGGCTCAGCCCCAGCACCTTGTGGAGTCCCGTGCTCAGGGAGGAGAGAAGAGAGAAACTGGGCTGGACTCAGGGCAGAGTCCAAGGGCTTTGCTGTGCTCTTCCGGTCCAAGGGCGTGGAGCAGGGTTGGGCCTACTCTTCTCTTTTGGACTTTAGAAATTGTAACAATTTTAAAACACAGTGTAAGAACTCTCCCTCTAAATGTTCTGTCTCTCTCCCTCTCTCTCTCTCTCTCCTCTTTCTTTCTCATCTCTCATCACTAGGATTCAATCTATATATCAGTAAAAGATGAAGAATACATGAGGGAAAGTGTTCAAGTACGATAACATTCATTTTTTCGAGGAAGATTCTCATATTTCTGTGTTCATACATTTTCTAGTTTCTATCTCACTTTTATCTCAGTTAATTCTGTATTTCCATCACACAAGCATTCTCAAATTGTCCAAAAATGATCAAATATGCTTCTATAATTAATAATATCTTTCTTACAGCTATACTTTTCCGTGAAGAAATTTTTTAATGAACATAAGTTCATTTCCACACCCAATCCCCACACATGCACATTTTAGTTCTTTTTTGTTGACCCCCAGTCTCTTGATCCTATTCCCATTTCGGAGACTTTTGTCAACTCACTATCATGTATTTAACATGCTATTTATTGTCAGTTTTTCACATTCCAGTTTTGTGTTAAGACTTGTTTGCAGTACATAATATTTACTTCCACTTTAGAAAGTAGGTGCTTGTGCTTATCACATCTTGATTCATTTTATTCCCCTTACCCTCCCTTCCTTCCTCCATATTGGGTTTCTGATGGTAAAACCCTCACACACACTCCTGTACATATCCGTATGTAGAGAATGGATCAGAATGATGCCAAGATTCTGCTTTAATAATGAGGAAATGGAATAAAAAATCAATCACGGGAAATAATATAAAACCAGGGGGAAAATTCAGTAAACACAAGGCTGTGTACAGGAAGAGATTGACATAACTGTCTGGCCTTTACCTCTCTTTATTAACAAAAATGAAATTACACAATCTAAATTAAAAACGAAACATGTGTTCCATGTCTCTACCAAAAACTCTTGGTGAATATTACAAAAATGGAAAAGTGAATAAACATACTGGACTCACACAGAAATGTGAAGAAACTGAAAATTCACAATGGTTTAGATGGTACATGTCCTTTACAGCTAGTGCTATAAAGGAATACTCAGTAATTTGAGTTACTGCTCTAATTGTCCCCCGCTTGTCTAGAGGGCTGCATTGGATGTGGTTCTCCAGAGCAGCAGAGATAAACCAGACACATAGTGACAGCACACAGGAAAAGACATTTCCTCCAGAACTGGCTCACAGGACCATGGAGGCTGGAAAGTTCCAGCTCTGCCATGTGGTCTGCAGGTGGAGACTAGGGAGCTGAAGGTGCAGGTACAGTTGCTGGCTGTCTGCTAGGGAATCCCTGTTGATTGGTGACACCGGTGGTTTGGGCTGTGCAGGCTCTCCTGGTTAATGAACCTCACACACACGATGGAGGGGAACCTGCTCTTCTCAGAATTCATTCACTCAAGTGTTGGTCAGTTCCTAAAAACTCCACAAGGAGACATATGATCCTCACAGAGGACCAACAGGCTGACCTACAAATTCATTAACAAAGCCCATCCTATAACTTTTGAGCACAACCCTACAATCTGGTACGACACAATGGTGAAATCTTAGTCTGGACACAGTCATTTCACCAACATCTTATGGTCCCTCAATAGAGAGTACAGTTATTTTTTAATTGTATGTATACAAAAAATAAAGGAGCGTAAGATTTTGAATTAAAGAAACCTACATTTTCTTCAGAGTTTTACACTATGCCATGCACGTAGTAACAAGAAATGGAGCCAAGATGTCATAGCACATGCACTGGCCAAGAGGTGTGAAGGGAACACAGGCACTGTCACCATCATGGAGGACAAGGTAATAGGACGGGGATATAAAATAAACACTCTGAAGCCTCAAAGTTAAACTTGAGAGTATAATGCCAGCCAAAACCATGGGCTACAACAAGGATAAACGTGCACATCCTGGCTCTGGTGTGGAGAGTTCGAATACATATGAGGAAAAAGACCCATCAGGTTAGGTTTTTGTAATCATACAGATCATATGAAATTCACAGAACCTCTGCCCATGGACTTTGAATGTTTTATACTCTATTTTTAAAACATAGCACATTTATCATTTCATTTATGATTGGAGGCCTATGTGCTCGAAACTTGCTTCTCAGGTTGTATTCTGTCTTTCATACGAGGCTTTCACATGACTAGTATTTTGAATGTTTTCCATTGCTAGAGTATCTAACGATCTCTGATCTCACTTGCTTTGTTTTTGTTTTTCTTGTTATTTTTTGAGACAGACTCTCACTATGTGATTTAGGATGGCCTTGGATTGACTATGTAGCCCTGGATCTCTTTGAACTCATAGAAATCCTGCTGTCTCACAGTCTTAACTTCTGGGATTATAGGTTTGTACCTCCACACACATCTGGATCTCTCATTTTTAAAATGGAGCGGATGTAAAAATTTGTTGAAAAGTTTGGAATCCTCCTTGAATGTTTTCATCAGAAATAGATGAACACTTCACTTACATTATTGATGGTTTTGGCCTTCTTCTATCTTGACTTTTGAGACAAGGGTCGGGATGTTCCAACACAGAATGTGGTCCCATTTGTGGTGTTCTCTGGGCCCATCTCTGGACCCATTTATCAGGGCCAGGAGGAGCAGCACTGTGTGCGCAGAGCAGGGCCCTCTTCATCCCAGGACATTCAACATCGCTGAGAAGCAGGTGGGCATGAAGCCAGATACAAAGTCTCATATGCCCTTGTTCCTTGACTATTTCCCTACATCTTCCTCCTGTCTCACTCTTGACTGGTGTAAGGTGAGCTGCTGAGGTGATTTTCCAAACATTCTATTCAGGGTGCACATTTAGAAACTTGAGTCATTATGAAACCATGAGTCCTCAGGGAAAGGGTTCTAAGAGTGAGAGTCAGAATGTCTGTAGTCCATGAGGAGTCCTGCCATTTTCAGATAGTAGTAGACATCTCTGATTACAAAAAGCCAAGAATGGGCTGAGACAGAAATGCATGAACTCCAAGAAAATTCCCCAAATAAGGATACTGTGAGAATGTAGGGAATAAGATCTAGAAGTTGTCTATGAAGACTACCCTCAAGGATGAAGCAATACTTTTTTAAAAGGCAGTCATGGAGAAGTTGACAGGCATGGCACCAAGAAGGCAGAAAGCATAGGCCTATTCTTAAATGTTTTTCTCTATATCCAACAAGAGCCCAGCAAATACACTATTCTCTGCCTCAGCACAAACTCTCCCCTGCAAAGGCATGCTATAGTAAATACACTCAGCACATCAGAACCCTTTCTGGACATGGACACTTTTATGTTAAAGGTGCCAATGTAAATTGTGGTCAAAATGAACAAAATTTTTGCTCCGACTCAATTTCTCTGTGTGTAGAAGTATGAATACCAAAGAAGATATAGAACAGTGTCTTTGGGCTGTTTCTCTCCCCAGTGCAATTGATCATCATATGCAAAACACTCTCCTGGGAAGGACCAAAACACCCTGACCTCTGTCCCCCTCTTATACCCTCACTGCCTTCCCCATGCAAAGCAGCCCCAGGCTCAGGATGAAAAGCCAGACCTGGCTGAGCAGCCCCCATCTCCTCTCACAGGAGCCTTCATACAGCATGGAGTCCTTGGTGCTGCTCCTCTGCCTGATGGCGGCTCCCTGCTGTGAGTGTCTCTGAGTTTCAGGAGAGCAAGGGGGGCACAGGGTGTGTGGTGTGTTTGATTGATGGTGATGCTTCTTGTCCCCAGGTGTCCTGTCCCAGGTGCAGCTGAAGGAGTCAGGACCTGGCCTGGTGAAGCCTTCAGAGACCCTGTCCCTCACCTGCACAGTCTCTGGATTCTCTTTAACCAGCTATGATGTAAGCTGGGTCCGTCAGCCTCCAGGGAAGGGACTGGAGTGGATCGGTGTGATATGGGCTAGTGGAAACACAAAGTATAGCCCAGCCCTTCAATCTCGAGTGAGCATCGGCAGGGACACTTCCAAGAGCCAAGTCTCACTATCATTGAGCAGCCTGAGATCTGAGGACACAGCCGTGTATTACTGTGCAAGAGACACAGTGATGGGAAATCAGTGTGAGCCCAGACGCAAACCTCCCTGCAGGGGCTCCCAGGACGACAGGGGGCAGGCAGGACACACTGAGCTCTTGTCGGGCCGAGGACCAGGTGCAGGATCCTGGGTCTGCTTTGCTGTTAGAGTCTGTGGTTTTCTCTTCCTGTCCCCAACTTTGCTAAAGAACTTCTGCAGTGTAAGCTTCTATAGACTTTGGATTTTGAAATAATTTGCTTTCTTTTATGAGTACATGTTTGTAGTACAGCCAGTTTACAGTCACCTTCAGAACTGGCTGCATGTATTTGATGCCGATGGATCCTTTAAAAACGCTGTATCCTATTCATCATTAACTTGACCCCCCCATCTCATTTCTCCATTTTTATTCATGTTGATATTATTGAATTTATCTCATGTTTATGACATATAAAGTTTATATTCATTTATTAGGTTCATGTACATGGCACGTACATATCCTAATTTTTTTGTTCCTGTCTCCTATTTTTTCATGTATGTTCTCTTGGACTCCTTCCCATTTGTACCTATTGCCTTGTCTCCTTCTAGCCATTCTTTACTGTGCTTTATGTTTATATTTTGCCTCACTCAAATGAGAAGTACTATATGGTCCTTAAGTTTTTGTGTCTGATTCATTTTTCACAATATTATATTTT